CAAAAGGGACTTTGCAGATGTGATTTGAATTAAGAATCTAGAGGTGGAAACATTATTCTGGATTATCAGAGTGGGTCCAATGTAATCACAAGAGTCCTTTTAAGAAGGGAGCAGGAATGTCAAGAGTATGAGAGATTGGTAGAAGCTACACAGCTGTCTTTGAAGACCAGTTAGGCTCAGTTGGCCTCTAGAAGCTAGAAAAGTCAAACAAATTCTTTGCTAGAGCCTCCAGAAGGAATGCAGTCCTGCCCACACTTTGACATTAGCCCAGTAAGAATTCTGACCTCCAGAACTATAAAAGAATAAACCTATGTTGTTTTAACTTATTAAATTTGTGGTAAATGTGTAGTTAGAGCAACATTAAGAAACGAATACAGATTCTGGTACCTGGAAAGTACATGATGCTGTAACAAATACCTAAAAATGTAGAAATGGCTTTGGAATTGGTCAATGGGCAGAGACTAAAATAATTGTGAGGAGAATGATAAAAAACCTTATACTGCCTGGAACAGATGGTTAGTAGAAATATAGATGTCAACAACTTTTGTAGTGAGGGCTCAGAAAAAAGTTAGAAGGATGTCAGTGAACATATATATCATCTTGAAGAAAACTTAAGCCATCATAAATAGACTGTTAGCAGAAATTGAATGTGAAAGGCATTTCTGGTAAAAGCTTAGATGAAGTGAGAACCATGTTATTGGAAACTGGAGAAAAAGGGATCCTTATAATTACAGAAAGCTTAGCTATATTGTGTCCTGCAGTTATGCGGAAAACAAAACTTGTAAACAATTAATGTAGATCTTTAGCTGAGATTTTCAAGCAAAGTGCTGAAGGGTTAGTCTCTTATCACTGCTTACAGTAAAATGTGAGAGGAAAGAGATAGATAAAGGGAAGAACTAGTAGACAAAAGAAAACAGAAATTGATGATTTGGGGCACTGTTAACCGATCCAGGTTGCAAAAGGCACCTTAGGAGATGCACTGTCAGAAAGAAAGCTCAGGGTGTGGATGGACAACTTTTGCTGGTGCTGGGAAGAATAAATAAGTCGGATTGACATGTCCATCACACATACATACTTATATATGCTGAATAGTTAGTCAATAATTGAAAAGATTAGGCAAGCGACTAACTGTTCCCTCCAGTTATTTCAACATAAACCAGAAATAGAGACAGAATTATCCAGTAAAGATCTGTGAAAGAGCAGCTTGTCTAACAAAGTGAATCCCTATGACAAACATGGGAGACCCAGAGTGTTCTTTGGACATTCCTTTGCTCAACAACTTCACTTCTCAGCAGTATTTGACAGGTATGACTACCCCTACATGCTGAAATATGTCCTTCTAGCTTCCAGGACACTACATTTACTTGGTTGTCTTCCGTGACCTTGGCTCCTCCTTCTCAGTCTCCTTTGCTGTTCCACTTCCTCTGCCAGACATTTCCAACACGGAGACAAAGGCCCACCTCCTCCCCAAACTCTCTTAGCAGGCAGTCTCAGCTATGCTCCTGCTTTGCATGCCATTTCCCATTTGTGACATTAAATAATTACGTATCCGTCTAGACCTCCCCCCATGCACCAGAAACACATACTTTATTGCCTATTTAACATGCCCACAACAGAATTATTGATCTGCTCAATTCCCTAAAACCTTCCCTATTTCAGAAAATGGCATCACTGTACACCAAGATAATCAGACCAAAAAAAAAAAAAAGTTTCTAAGTTTCATTGTAGATTCCCCTCTCCTTCAAACACCATGTTCAATCTATCACTAAATACTGTTGTTTCTACAGTCAAAAATACATCCTGATTCTAACCACTTCCCACCAACCCCATAGTTACAACCTAGGGCCAAGCCACTACATCTCTCCTGAGGAGTACTGCAATGGCTTCTGTGGTTGACAGTCTCACTAGATCCTATCCAACAAGGGCAAAGACTATTTCTTTTTTTTTTTTTTTTTTTTTGGAGTTGGAATCTCACTCGGTCACCCAGACTGGAGTGCAGTGGCCGCTCCCGGCCACCGCAGCCTCGCCTGCTGGGCTCCAGCGATCCTTCCACCTCAGCCTTCCAAGTAGCCGGAATTACAGGCATGCGCTACCATGCCCGGCTGGTTTTTTGATTTATTGTAGAAATAAGGTCTCGCTGCCCAGGCGGGTCTCGAACCCGCGGGCTCAGGCAATCCACTCACCTCAGCCTCCCAAAGGCGCGGGATTACAGGCTGAGCCACCGAGCCTGGCTGAAAAGACTATTTCATAAAAGGAAATCAAACTGCTATTGCCAAAAGAAGTGGAATTGATGATAAATGTCTAAAGGTAACAAATGACCTCTGAATTGATTTTTACCTTTAAAAAAATTTTTTTTACCAATTTTATGGATACTATTTAAATTTTTACTCAAAAATCCAGCGTATCTAAAATATGCACTATTACAAACTTTGTATACATAATTGTTCAAAGATGAAAGTGGAATGAAAATTAAAATGTAACATCTGGATTTATATAATCTCTTAGAAATAAATTGATGATGTAAAACAGTGCTGAATACTTTTATCAAGTTGGGAAGTAGAAGGGTTTTCTAAGCAAAGACATAGATCCAGAAACTCTTAAACAAAGGCAAATTACAATAGTAAAAACAGTTGCAGCAGGTGTGAAAGAGTATGAAAATTCGTATCCAAGAGTCTTGATGATTAAATAGAAAAAGAATTCCAACACAAAAATAAACAAGTTACAGAAGAAACAAAGAGCCAGCTATTTTCCTTAAAAATATCCAAACTCTCTTAAAAATAAATAAATGAAAATTGGGATAAAAATAAAGCTTTATTTTATGTATCAGATTGGCAAAATTAAAATGATTTATAATACTAGTATTGGCAGGATGTGAAGAAATTGGCATTTACATAGATCATTAGTAGTAACATAAATTGGGATGTAGTTTGGCAACATCTATCAAAATGTAAAGCGCACATACATTTTTATAACAACTCCACCATCCTACATAAATATTTCCACAAAAGCTCAGCGATATTCATGTTTTGTATGTGTGCAAGTGTGTGTGATGTGATATGTCTTTATACAATCACTGCAAATAATGATTTATATAAACTGACATAGAAAGGTATCTACATGTATTGTAAAGTGGAAAAAGCAAGCTGCAACACAGAGTATATTTTTCTACTATTTTAGTTAACATATATGCATATATATTAGTGCAAGCATTAAAAAATCTATAAGAATTAATTATTCTTAACCATGGTTTTTCCTCTTAGAGGTGATATTAGAAAGAGCATTTTCCTAGAGCATTAGAGTGAATTGTCTAAACACTAGAAATAGTAGCAATAAAGGATATTACTATTTGTACTGGGACAAATGAAGCTATCCTTTATACACAGAAATACAGTACAATCAAATTTCTCTAGAATATAATGCCCCATAGATTTGCAGCGTTACATAGAGTCTTCTTGGTATGAAGGAATTGGCAACTGATGGTATAAATACCTCAGTAAAACAATTTTTAATGATATTGAGAAAAACCAGCCCATTCTTAGAATGTTAGGAGAAAAGTCTACCTTGCCCTCTTGCCTTCCCGACTGTCTCCACAAGTTTCCACATTCTCACCCCAATTACCGTCAATGCTTCAGAATGCCCTAGTCAGCTTATCTGTTCCTGCCCTGCATATAAAGTGGGACAGAACAAGTAGACTTCTTGTCTACCATCTCTCTTCAAAGATATACCTAGAGGCACATCTTATCTGGCTTTGACTGAAGCTGTGAATAGAGAAAAAGTTACATGGGAACACGTAACACTGAAGTTCGAGTGTCCTAAATCTTCATCTTGGGCTCTAAAACAAAAGCACAGCCATTGAAAAAGGCAGTCCGGTAGAGCACACATTCCAGGGAACATCTCCGAAAACTCAAATGGGAAGAAAAGCAAATACCTCCTTCTGAAATATTCATCTGTGGGCATTCTAGAAATGTCCACAGATATTTGTATGAAGTACAAAAGTGCCATTTCCCCCAAAACTATTGAGAAACAACCTATATCACACAAATACATATGTAAATATATATGTATATATACAGTAGAAATTATTGTCCAACAAAAGATATCTACTTGGTTTTCAAAAGCCAGGAAGACCATAGTAGTATGGAAAAAAGACTCCGAAAGAAAGAAAAAAATACAGTACATTCAAAGTGAATGATCTTATTTGAACTCATCTGGTTCTACTTCCATATTTCTTTTTTTAAATTACGTTAAAGATGTGAGGAACAATTCAGGATTAGGTATACAAATGGTCATCATCGTACAGGTAAAGTGTGGGCCTCCCTTTGGTCCTCACTTCTACTTCCATATTTCAAATCAGATAAAGTGACACACTTCTGGGTTTTGTTGCTGTTATTGAGTTGCTTGTTCTGATACAAACAATAAAGCAACTGCAAAAAATGCACCCTATTAACTCCATTAGTACTTACAAAAATCTCACTAAATCAGTACTAATATTTCATTTTTTTCCCAATGAGGTACAGTGAGGTAAACTGAGGCACAGAGAGGCGCCCAGAGTTATTTCATTGTCTCTACCCTGCACTGGTATTTTCTCGAAACATTCCTCTTTTATCTGACGAAATGTAAGAAAATCCCCCGCCCCCGAAAGGCTCTATGAATTCTAGGCCACAAAGCAGCGCGTCACGCTCACAAGGCACAAAATGTGTGTCTGTGCCGGGGCCAGGCGCGATGCATAACGCACCCCGCAAACCTAGGGCTTACTACAACGTATGCTGGAGCAGCAGATCGACTCCGGCCCCATGGTTTGAATACGTGTGCACGCGTATGCACGGGGAAGAGCCAGAAGAAGCCTTTGTCACTACACGCGGTCCCAAAGGACGCCAGGGCCCCGCAGCCAGCTCTGACTTGCCGCGCTGGAACCATGGAGGGCGCTCCCCTCGCCATCTGGGTCGCGCGCGGCCGCGGGCCCAGGACGCATGCGTGGCCCCGGCGGCCGGGGCGCTTACCTGGTGCGCCGGGCGCACAGGCACAGGGCCAGGAGCAGCAGGGCCGTGGCTAGGGCCAGGCCCGGGAGGCCGAGCGGCTCCAGCGAGAAGAAGCCCATGCCCGCGGACACGTCTCCCGCCGCCCGACGCG